TGGATTTGAACCAAGAGCCTTTGGGACTGCAGCACAACTTCTTGCCACTAGGCCACCAGAGCAATGGGACAAGTTTTTTGTTTTGGTATTTTTTTTTGGCATTTTTAATTTAGGTTTGTTTTATTTAAGTTTAATGTTAATTCCATGCTGTGTTTCAATGGGACAAGTTTTAAGCAAAGATATGATAGTTTAATATTCATTGTGACAGAAAGGCCGTACAATGATGATAACATAGTTCAGTAGACTAAACAGCGGTGAACACCATTAACATTTTTTGCTCCTCTCTGATGTGTCCGTGTGTGTGTGTACACACACACACACACACACACACACACACACACACATATACATACATACATATCAAGATACAAAACTATGTATAGACTTTCTGCAGTTCTGGAAGGTAAATGAAACCCTTAACCTACTTAGTGTGTGGAGATAATCTCTAAATGTTAAACCAAAAAAGCTCCTCAAATTTACTCAGAACCAAAGAACAGTTTAGCAGAACTAGTAAAAATATTTACTCAAAAGCACAGAACAGTTTAGCAGAACTAGTAAAAAAAATACTGTTTTATGCCTTTTTAAGATCTATGTGTGGCGAGCTCTGGTGGCCTAGTGGCAAGAAGCTGCACTGCAATCCTAGAAGTACACGGTTCGAATCCACCAGATGCTCTGCTGGAGAAGAAGGAAAAATCTCCTGTACCAGTCAGATCTGATTTGATGGTACACACACACAAAATAACAAAAATAAAATAAAATAAATTTTTTTTAAAAAAGATCTATGTGTATGGGATCAAACTGACAACTGCATCTTCAAAAATTAGATAGGAAGCTGAAGGGACAGTTTATGTTAATGAGGGAGCTCAGAAAAGGGGGAGAGAGCTTGAAAAATGTAATCAATGTCACTGAACTGTACTTGTAGAAATGGTTGAACTGGTTTATGTTTTGGTGTGCATATTCTCAACAAAATAAACATTTTCAAAAACTGTATGTATGGAGCTCTGGTGGCCTAGTGGCAAGAAACTGCACTGCAGTCCCGAAGGTGTGCTATTCAAATCCACCAGATGTTTCACTGGAGAATCTCCTCCTGTGCCAGTTGGATCCAACTGGACAGAATAGGACAACAGAAACAACAACAACAACACACACACACACACACACACACACACACACCCTGTATGGAGTACATAAAAACCACAACTGAATTAAAACCCAACAGAATTAAATACAAAAAAAAAGGTCAGATGGAAAAAAATGGTGAGCATAAGATGAACTATTTTCTCCTCTATCTTCTCTTTGCACAATGGCGAGTATAAAGTCACTATATTCCTTTTTACCAACCTCCACAGGTAGGAAGAGCACTAGCTGCCCTGGGCCCTCTCTAGGTATGCCCTCTGTCTCCATGCTCAGATATTTGCTCACCAGCCCTCTGTCTCTTGGCTCTGCGGAGTTGCAGGTACTCCAGCCAGGCCCTCAGGCAGCTCCGTTTCTGTCTATGCTGCAGATGCTTCAGTGCACAGGCCATCTTCTGTCTGTCCCTCTGGATATGCAGGAGTTGCTCCTGCCACCTGGACCATGCCTGGAAGCCAGAGAGAGTGATTAAAGGAAAGGCTGGGGCACGCAGGGGACACAGAGGTGAGCAGTCAGACAGCGAAAAAGAAGACGACAAGGAGATTCAGGAGAAGAACAAGAAAGTGATCCCCAAACAGGACCATAATAAGCTTTGGGAATTGGAGGATCTTTCAAAGAGATCTTTTTTTACCTCCTGTATCAAATGGGGGGGGGGGATTAAAAAAACACACCAAACAAACCCTAATGAGCAACCAAGAAGCAAGAACACTTTGAATGATAATTAATGGATTCAGACTTGGGGTGGTTGAGGATCTGCCTTTTTCCCCAAAATAAGAAGGTGTCTACAGCAGAAAGGGCCTTTCTGGGGCAGATCCCCTGCAGAAGCTGAGGATCTGCGAAAGGCTCTCCTTAAAGACACCCATACACATGTACCGTCCAGGAATCCCCTAAGGACTCAAGACTGTATCGCGTATTCTCTACAGATAAAGAGGCACACATTTTTATAAGAAAATGAAGAGATGATCACAGGGATATGATATCTCATGCCAGCGGCTCTATCTGAAGAAGAACTTTAGTAGTGCCCATTCCATTTCATCACTGTAAAAAAACCTGGAGCAAATGTGGAAAATGCTAATACTTTTAAAAACTAAGTTGATGGGTCTCTGATATTTCGTAATATTTTTATAAATGTTTTATATGCTCTAGGGGAGCTCTGGTGGCCTAGTGGCAAGAAGATGCACTGCAATCCCAGAGGCGCACTGTTCGAATCCACCAGATGCTCTGCCG